CTCAGTGGCTACGCCGGAAGAATTTCTTGTTGTCAGTTGAAAACAGCCAGTTTTCTAGTGTTATTGAATCTATTGAAGTGTCAAACAGGCAGCATCATGTGGTGATTAAATAGTGGTTCAATCCACAAAAACATGAAAAATGCCGGAGGTTCTCAACTGGAGCAACTGTGGCTCCGCCAGGCTGGGATCCATGGGCCAAAGGGTTGTGATGGTTGGAGCATCCTGGAGCCAAGACTGGCCATTAAAAAAAACTGTTGAGGCAGGGTATCAAATGGGGATGGGTCAAAACCCTATCCCCCTGGACATCAAAATAGCTGGTAAATAGATGTTCATCCCCCTAAAAATGGTATGTATAGGTATTGATCCATAGCCAAATAGTGACAACTGTCATTTTCATAGGCTTCTACTGTTCCATGCAAATTCCAGGAATGTGAGCTTGATAGTCTGTTGTTCCTCGGTTTATGGTCAAAGCTCGCTCCACATGGTGGACAAAACTCATCGGCCTTAGATCATTCAGGAAAGGATGGAAGAGACAATCCTTCTACCAGGCAGTTCCACCAACAAGGGCTTCACAACTAAACAAACTAAACCTTGTGGAAAGCATTGAAAGCATCCCAGAATGCTGGATATGTTGTGGATTATCATTGATTATCATTGATTATCATTGTAGATCCAGCACTTTTTCCCAATCTCCCATGATCTCCCATGATTCACACCAGGAGCTGATGGTGATGGGATGTGATTTCCTGGCAAAACGCCCTGGATTGGTGGAAGCAGCACCTGGGCGATACGATCGTGGGATCGTGGGCGTTGCTCAAGTTCAACACCCCTACAGTATCCTACAGTAAGTTTTCCCTATAGTCCGCCAGAAAGCCAGAAAGCTGAGAGGAGAATCGCGAATAAAATAGCGACTGGGACCATGAACTTCTCTCGCTCTGAAAGTGTGCAGCTCAGGTTAGTCAACACGCTCTGCAGGCTGGGTCCCCCTTTCCCTGGTCAAAAACTTGATGGTTGAAGAAGAGATAGATCTTCACATGTGAACTGGTTTGAAAATGTTTGAAGTGGCTTCATTTCAGATCAGTATGTGGCCAGTGTTGTGAAGTGATGCAGGCATCCCTGACGTTGCATTTGGGAGTTGCTGGGAGCCCCAGATTCAAAGAGTTCAAGATGTTCGCAAGATGTGAAAGGTAACTTTCTGGCTGAGAGAATCACGTTACCATTGCAGCATGTATCCCATGACATGACATAATTGTGGGCACTTCCTGACTCATTCATGTGCCGTCGCCATTGCCTCAAGGGAGGGACATTCACGCATAGCGGAAAACCGATGATGCGTCCGTGCTAGAGTGAGCACTGCATTCTAATCACCATTTGCCGGTGAGAGGTATCAGTTGAAGGTGAAAGGTTTGATATTGGTAAGGCTACCAATTGCATGGTAGCGGGAGCTCTTTCCTGGCGCGATTCCAGGGACGGGCTCCGCACTGTGCATTTGCTGCCTGATCTTGCTGATTGAGATGCCTGGCGAAGACTTTAGCCATATACCTACCTGGTCAGGGGATCCTGCGGAATTTGAAACCTTTGAGGTTTCCTGCAAGTGGTACGAACGTGGTTGGAAAGATTCTGAAAGGCGTCAGTCAGCGGCAAGAGTTTGGAGCAGATTGCAAGGTGCGGCCAAGTCGGTTGTGAAGCATTTAGATCCGGATGAATTTTCTGGAGATGATGGGTTGTCAAAGCTGTTACAAGTTCTTAGGACATCACCTCTCCAAGCACTACCCATTCCTGACTCCTTCAGTCGTTTAGAGAAGTGGCATGCGTTGAGACGCAAGGAGCATGAAAGCATAGCAGAGCTACTTGTCCGAGAAGAAGACTTGTGGTTGCAGATGCAGAATGCGTTGGTGAGAGCGAGATCGGATCGTGGACCAAGGCCACAGGCCATTCCGGAGGTTCCACGAGCCATGGATCCCTCTCCTACAGGTATGGGCAGTGTTGGAAGTCCTTTGAATCTACGTCGTAACTGGCATTCAGGGGTTACTGCACAGCAGCAATCGACTGGTTCAGGCGTGGCAGAGACGGCAGGTGCAGCAGCGGGTGTTTCCGGTGCTCGTGTTGCAACATCTCTGGATACAACTGATTTCTGGTCAAATGAATTGCGAGGTTACAGGCTTCTGAAGGCAGCTCATCTAACACGTCAGGAACGTCAAAACATCCTGACTCAGACAAACAACATGACCGACTTCGAGATCATCAAGCGAGCGTTGCGTGCATTGTTCGCTGAAGATGAGGCCATGGGACGGCCTACAAGTTACAAAAGGTTTGCAAAGAGCGCTTTGTGGAACGATGCAGATAACTGGGACGATGATGCAGGCGACAATGAGTGGCCTGATGCTGACGGTTCCTGGTACTATGAGCCCAATGACACTTACTGGAATGACGAGGACTGGGCTTGGAACGACGACGACGAGAATGCTGCATACTGGAACGAGGAGGAGGATGAGGTTGTCCCTGACGAGACAGCCGAAGATCCAGACGAAGTTCAGTTTCGAGAGGCCTATGCTCTGGCAAACGAAGCTTCAAGGACTTTGCAAGAGGCGCGTGAGGCAGTGAAGAAGGTGAGAGCCGCCAGAGGCTACTACTCTCCTGAAGCTAGCTCTGGCAAAGGCATTTCTTCATCAACGGCTTCACGAATGCTAGGCAAGGGTTTTGGAAACAAGTCATCTGGAAAAGGCAAGATGTCTGGGCCTTGTTTTCGATGCGGCATGAAGGGTCACACCATAGCTCAGTGCCCAGATCGTTTCAGTCCTGGAAAAGGTGCAGGCAAGGGATTTGCATCCAAAGGCAAGAGCAAAGGAAAAGGCAAGGGGAAGTCAAAAGTGAAAGGGAAGAATTTTTACGCAGATGTTTGCACTTTGACTGTGATGTGGAATGAAGATGCGAAAGCTCGTAACAGCTACACCAGGGTTGTGATTGACACCGGGGCCTCAGAGAGCGCAGTCGGCTCCGCATCACTTCAGAAGCTGTTACATTATGGTCAATTTGCATACAGTGTTCATGTGGATGATAGGCCAATTTTTCGTTTTGGGAACGGTTTGAAGATGCAAGCCCTGAGCAGAGTTGACATTGAAGGAACCGCTATTGGCCAGGTTTCGTTTTACGTTTTGGGTGGAACAGCTCAGGATACACCACCTCTGCTCGGATCCAAGGTGCTTTTCCATCAACGAGCCCATATTTCCTATGCCAACTCTACACTCATTTTCGAGGCTGGACCTTGGGATGGCACGGAGAACAGTATTTTTGCAGTTCCCATCGAGATCCTTCCAACATGGCACATGACACTGGACCTGCGTGAGAATGCACTCATGATGGAAAATGACAATTTCATGATTCAATCACTTCCCACATTTTCATCTTCTACGGCATCAACATGTGAAAATGTTTCAGAAGTTTCATGCGGTGAAGTTTTCTTGCCACTCTACGTCATGAGCACTTCCTGCAAGAGTACATCCTCACTCCCTGATCGACTTCAGCTGTTGGCTCAAAGGCTTCACCAGCTTAGAGGGCAACAACCAGCTGAAGATGGAACCATGTGCCCAAGACGATCCTCGCAGAGAAGGATATCCCTGCTGGACCAGTCACCACCCGAAGGAGCGCAACAACCAGTACGCCTCCTGGCAGACATGCACCAAATGCGGCCTTCGACTGAGTTACAAGGCCAAGAAGGGGTACAGCGGGGATCACCGACACATGGGCCCAGTGCCACATACCATCAGGTCAGTGATGGAAAGTCTGGAGAAAACTACCAGTCCGGACCAATGCAACGAGAAGATCGTGAACGGCAGACTGATGGAGGCACAGGGCAAGATGCTTCAGTATGGCGTCACCAACACAATGGCCATCAACATGACGTACCGCGAGTACCTCAAGAGGATGAACATGGAGATTCCAGAGCGCAACAAGTCACCATCGAGAGCAGCCAAGACCAGCCTGACACCAGAGATGAAGGAGGCGGCTACAAAGGAGCTGGTCCAGAAGCTGAAGGAGACGGCGATGGGACAGGCTTCCAAAGAAGCTGTGGAGTTGGTGGAGAAAGCGGCGGAATCCATGGCATCCACACGCGGCCATCTGAAGATCGAGAAGAAGCCATCGACGGAGAAGGAGACGGAGATGGCAGTTCAGGACACGCACATGCGAGAGTGGAGCATGGCGGAGGATGCGGTGAGCGTGTCTTCCTCTGCGCCACCGGAAGCACAAGGGTGAGCCATCTGAAGATCCTGAAGCAGAAGTTGTCCGAGCTTCAGGGCAAATTGAATGGGCAACATGGAACCTATGAGACTGTGGGTGAACAGTACACCAACAACATGACTGATGGCGAGAAGGTTGACAGTGGGCAAAACTATGAGGCTGTCGGGGAACAGCACCCAAATTCGAAAGACCTCAACATGGACTTGGCCACCACGACAGATGAGCGCGTGCTGGCGGAGAAACATTCATTTGAAGGGTCTATGGAAACTGAGGTGCCTTCAACTTTTGTGGACAAGCATGGCATGAAGATTCAGGCACCTTCACACGGCAGTTTTGCCAATGCCCCAGTCAACATGACGTCTGACAAGAACTTGGTTGCGCCGAACTTGGCAAAGAAGTTGGCAAAGAATGCGGCCATGTTGGGCCTTATGCTACTTGGACCTGTTCTTGGACTTTTTGGACAGATCCAAGACCGACCTGATTTCCTGGAGATTGCGTGCTCTGCAAACTCGTCCTTGTCACATGAGATGGCAAGCATGGGCTACAACATCAAGCGCGCCAACTACCTTGAGGGCTACGACCTCTCCAGTTCTCGAGGCACGAAGATGCTTCAGCATGAAATAGCTCTCCATCCACCACGTTTTGGTTGGGTCAGTTTGCCTTGCACCCGACTCACCTCATTGGTCAATTTGACCCCCAGATCGGAAGCTGAATGGGCAAACTTTCAGAAGAGACAACGTCAAGATCTCAAGCGAGCTTCGGAAGTGGCAGATGGATGTGAACCAATCTTGCGTGATGGAGGAGATATAGCGTGGGAGTGGCCGGCTTCAGCATCAACAGGTTGGAAGTCATTTGCCATCTCACGTTTGCTGAAGCTGTTCAAGAAGCACAACAGGGTTGCATACTGGTGTCGTTTTGATGGTTGCACCTATGGACTGAAGTATCAAAACCTACCAGTGAGAAAGGGTTGGTTGATCCTCACCACATGCAAGAGCTTGTGGTTGAGCCTACATCATAGATGTCCTGGCCACCAACAGCACTGCGAGTGTAGAGGGCCAGTTGCGCAATTTTCTGCATATTACCCTGCCAAGATGGTCACTGCGGTTGTCAAAGCCATTGTAGGCCATTGGCAAGCCCCTGAGGAGGAACGCAACATCAGCATTGCGGATGACGTCAACAACTACTTGCTGGACATCAAGGACGCTGATGTGAATAACGAGGAGGTCACCCCCTGCCAAGGAGTTCGTGATGAGAGCCCAGAAATCTTTGCTCTCACAAGGAATCGATTCCCTGAGCAAGCTCCAACTGGCAGGAAGCTTGAACTGATCCGTCAACAGATGATGCGGATCCATCGAGCTTCTGGGCACGCACCCTTCTCAAGACTTCAGAAGTTGTTGACAGTTCGCAAGGCTCCGAAGTGGGCAATTGAATTGGCAGGCAAGCTCCAGTGTCCATCATGCATAGAAGCCAAACGTGCACGACCAGCACCCGTGGCAAGCTTGGGAGAAACTCCAACTCTGTTCCAGATTCTGGGTATGGACTGCTTTGAGGTCGATCATGCAGGCTTCAAACATAAGTTTCTTTTGATGCGTGACAGGGCCTCAGGCTATGTGATGTTGGAATTTCTCCAAACCTACACTGGCAACTGGGAACCAACAACTGACAACATCATTGCAGCCTTTTGCAAGTGGCTGATGGTGAATCCCAAACCACAGTGGGTTATCACAGACAGCGCAACATACTTCACATCCAACCAGATCCTCGAGTTCTATGGCAACAGTGGAGTGGGCGTCCTTACGACGCCAGCTGAGGCGCATGAGATGCTTGGAGCCGAAGAAGGATGCATTAGAGTTTTGAAAGAAACGGCAGTGCGTCTTCTCAAAGAAGAACCAGACTTGGCCATGGAGAACATCTTTCAGCTTGCAGCACATGGACACAATGAGGCCATTGGGCCATCGGGATATTCACCTTTCCAGTGGCTTCGTGGCGGCGCTGACCGCGACGAGCCCCTGGCAGGGCAGAACCCGAAGAAGATGTTTGGTGGACTTCTGCGGCTGAAGGAAAAGGCCAAGGTTGCATACGAGATGGAGTCTGCAAAGGATAGATTGTCAAAGCTGAACAACAGTGCCGGCAGACCACCTCAGAGCTTCAAAGCCGGCGACCTGGTCATGCTTTGGAGACAAAAGAACAAGCCAGGAAAAGTCAGTGGCACTTGGGTAGGACCAGTACGTCTTTTACTACAAGAGGGCAACACCCTTTGGCTTGCGACAGGATCAACATTGATCCGTGCTCGGACTACACAAGTCCGAAGGTGCACCAAGCAGGAGACGCTGGACTCCATGATGGAAGGAACAGCCGTTCTTTCAACACCGACTACCATTGACTCTCTCATGAAAAGCTTCACTGGCAAGCACTACGTGAATGCCACCGGAGATGTGCCGTCAGAAAGACAGCGACAAGATGACGTTCAAGGAGCAGAAGTTGCACTTTTGCCTGATGATGATCATCGTCCTGACACTTGGAAGTTTGAAGAAGATGGGCAACAAAAGTGGCTGGTCAGAGTGCACACTCTACCGCGTCTGACCTTGTTTACACCAACGAGGACGCAAACCAGTCCAATCTCTGAGGACAAGCTGACAGGCAAAAGAATCACCATTGTGAAGTCAATGACACCTGGATCACAGCTAGTGACCATTGAAGATGACTTCACCACCACAGATGCTCCTCATCGTCAACTACAAGATCGATGGAAGGGTGAGACTCGTTTTGAGATCAAGCCCGAAGTGAAGAAGGCTAGGCTGACTCCGAAGGAGAAGCCAGTGAGGAAGCGTGATGCATCATCCTCACAGCCATCAAATGTTTCACAACATCAACAACAAGCCAGTGGACAAGACGCTGGTGAGCAGGCGCTGACTGTTCCTGAAGGGGAACAAACCGATGCGAACATCGGCCAGCTTTTGCCTGAAGTTCCTGATTTGCATCCCCTTACAACAGCGCTACGAGACCGTGGCGCAGCAGCTGTGGATGGAGTTCCAGCTCAAAGAGAACAACCTCCTCTTGGGGATGGAGTGAATAGATGCGTTGTGCGAGACTGTGACCTTCCAGGCGGACATCATGGCCCCCACGAAGATTCCGAGGGCAAGAAGTTCTCATGGGAACCCTATGGCGGAAGAGTCAATGTGGAACCAGAGACCGACAGCAGCAGCTCTGATGAAGCTGACGAGCTGATCCCAGATGGACCTGCCACCAAGAAGGCCCGAAACATTGGCACCGAAAGCCAGTACTATGTCCTGGAGATTCCCTTGGAAGAGGCGGAGTTGGACTATCTTTCTGAGCATCCCAAGCGAGCAACCGCTTGGCTATCAAAGAAGATGGAGAACAAGGGCAAAGAACTGAGATGGAGCCAGATGCCACTATCCCAAAAGAAAGAATTTGATGAAGCTCAGTGCCGTGAGCTATCTCAAGTGATGGCATCGAAGGCAGTTCGAAGTTTGACAGCCCAAGAAGAATTGAAAGTTGACCGCAGTCAAGTGATGGCCATGCGCTGGGTGATGACTTTGAAGGGAGATGGCACTCCCAAAGCGCGCCTGGTCGTGCTGGGCTACCAGCAGCACAACTTGACATCTGTGCAGGCGTCAGCACCAACCATGTCAAGGATCTCTCGCAACTTGATCCTGACAATCTGCGCTACCCTGAACTTCCTACTGTCCGCAGGAGATGTCTCTGCAGCATTCCTTCAAGCAGCACAATCACTTGAAGGCGAGGACCTCTATGTTTGGGCACCTGCTGAGCTGGCAGTTTTGTTTGGCGCTTGCCCTGACAATCCTATGAAGATCCTCAAGATTTGCAAGGCATTTTATGGTTTGGTGCATGCGCCGAGAAAGTGGTTTGATCATGTGGCTAGCACAATGGAAGCACACGGTTGGATGAGGCTTTTATCAGATCGATGTGTTTTTGTTTTACATGCTCCACCTGATGCACCTGATGCAGGCAGAATTGTAGGCGTTGCGGGTTTGCATGTAGATGATTTTCTGATAGGAGGAGACCGCTCATGTGAACATTTCCTGGAAGCAGAAAAGAAGCTGAAAGCGGCATACCGCTGGGGCAAGTGGCAGCAAGGTGATTTCACATTCGCAGGGTGCGACATCAAACAGCACTCTGACATGAGCATTTCCATCAATCAGAAATCGTATGTCGACAAGTGGCTTGAAGAGTGTGTCATTGATCGACAGCGTGCAGACAAGAAGAACCTTCCTTTGACCAACGAGGAGATTTCTCAACTTCGTGGCATTCTGGGAACGCTAGCATGGAAAGCATCACAGACGGGCCCCCAATATCAAGCAGACGTCAGTTTGTTGCTATCGGAGGTGAAGTACGCAACAATAGACACTTTGCAGCGTGCAAACAAGCTGGTGAGGGAGGTCAAACGAGATGCTCAACAATCTTTGCGCTTCCCTGCATGGAAGCTCGGTCTGAAAGACTTAGCGGTGGTTACATGGTGCGATGCTTCACAACACAACCGTCCAGACAAGTCATCGACATATGGATTGGCAACTGGAGTTGCACCACGAGCTTTGCTGGAAGGTGATGAGTGCGAGATAGCAATTGTCACATGGAAATCCTCAAAGACACCTCGCCAATGCCTTGGATCGAATGGAGCTGAAGTCCAAGGAATCACAGAGGGCGAAGATGTAACTTTCAGGGTGAGAGCGATGCTTGCAGAACTTTTTGGTTATCGTTTCGCTGACAAGAATGACTTGTACCAGAAGATCAAGGAGCTCACAGCTGGTGCTATCGTGATGGATAGCCGTGGAGTATTTGACGCAATGACCAGAAGCGTCAGTGCTCTCCATGGTCTGCGAAGCACCCGTGCAGGCTACGAGCTTACATTGTCAGTTTGCCAAGCTCTACAAGTTCAGACTGAAATGCGATGGGTCAATGGTCTTGCCCAAATCGCTGATAGCCTGACGAAGAGAAACGACCGAAAGGTGATACTGCAGTTACTCAGTTCAGGCCAACGATGGCGACTGGTATACGACCCTAAGTTCACATCTGGTCGCAAGATGAAGAAACAAGAGATGCTCAGAAAGATAAGAGAACAGGAAACGCTGTTCGTGGAGGAAGTGGCCAAAATGGCCGAGCTCTGTAGATGGCCATGGGTGATGCAGGAAGAGCCCAGGAATATGGGTGATGAGAGAATCACGTTACCATTGCAGCATGTATCCCATGACATGACATAATTGTGGGCACTTCCTGACTCATTCATGTGCCGTCGCCATTGCCTCAAGGGAGGGACATTCACGCATAGCGGAAAACCGATGATGCGTCCGTGCTAGAGTGAGCACTGCATTCTAATCACCATTTGCCGGTGAGAGGTATCAGTTGAAGGTGAAAGGTTTGATATTGGTAAGGCTACCAATTGCACTGGCCGATCGAATGGTTCTGTGGCCAAAGCACTCCAAAAATCCAATGTTTTTCATATTTGTCGTATATGCATCGTATTTGTCATAGCGGTTCCGCGTTGTTCACAATCAGTTTGAGTGATTCGACCATGCAGGGCCCGGACCAGGTCACCAAAACAGAGTTTATGGCCCTCACAGTGGCACTGGTGTCGCCAACCATTCCTGCGTTGTTTGTTTTCACCACGCCATATTTGGAAATTCGGATTGGCACTCAGGCAGGAAGCATTCTTGCACGTTGAAACAATAAGCCCAATAAGCAGTCTGAAGTTTGGAATTTGGTCAAACCGAAGATTCATGGTGAACTGCAACGTGCCACGGTTCAAACCTCCCATAACACCAAGCCCGATCTCTCAGGATGCAACCTGGTGGTTCCAGCGCGAGATTTGAAGCCAGGCAACGCCAGCTGCCATCAGCTGCCGGCGTGACATTACTTCAGTTGATTCACGGTTCAAACTCAGCTGTGGTTCAAAAATGGTTCGCTCATTGACTTGCTACAGGTGATTACAGGTCATTTCATGCTGCAATTCTATGATTTGCAATCTCAGAAACGGCTTTGTTGAGTTTGATCACCATATGCAGAAGGTCCTCACACAGCGTAGCATCAATGAAGGTCGCAGTCACAGGATGTCACAGGTAGATCAATTCGATGTGCTTTTGGAGGTCAATGCGAGCAGCAGAAGGCCGTATTCTTCACCGTGAAGGTGGAAGATGAGGAGCCAATTGCTCAACGATTTCCAAAGGATTTCCAAATTTGTGTCGTGACCATGGGAGCCTGGTCCCAGGACATGGCTTCCTGGCAACCCGGGATTCCCCTTGGTGCCGCCAAGTAGCTGGTCTATCCAACGTGTGTTTGGGAGTGGATGCTTGGGGCTGAGGTGCCCAAGATTGGTTGTTCTTATTTTGTGCAAAGCGAAAGTTTAGGAATAACCATCATAATCATAGAAATAAAAGGCTACGTATTTCCAGATAAGCCAACACTTTCGGCGATGACATTTTCCAGATGTCGTGCAGGTTTTTCAGCACAATGGTTTTTCAAGATGACACATCGATTGTTGGATCATGTTCAGGATTGATCAGTTTGACTGTCATTGATGGGCATCATGAAGTCAAATCATCATAAATCATCGGCGGAATTTTGTTCACCCCAGATCGCTACCCAATTCCCATCACTTCCTATCACTTCCTTTCACTTCTTATCATTCAATCTTCAGATTCGTCCTTTTTTGAGCCCAGCATGGTCCACCATAGCAATCTCACAGCCTCAAGGTTCGACATGCTTCGACCAGTCGCCAAAGGCCTGGGTGGCCTGACGGCCGCGATGTTTCGCCTTTGTGGAATCGATGGAGAATGATTTTGAAATGGATTACCCGAGTGCATGTTACCATGATTTGAACATATGAGAAGAATTTTGATGTTTTTCCAGGTTTGAAGTCGGTAACCATCAGATGCTCGTGAGGAGTTGGCCGACAATTCCAGGAATTTGAACTACATAGGACCTGCACTAGCAGAACTATGGCGGTTCGTACCCTTGTACCATCTTGTACCAGATGGTTTTTGCAAAAATTGCCAATGGAGGGTTCCAGGAAATCCAAATATCCACTGGCCCAGAAACAGAAAATCCAAACCCGTCATGTCCTGTGGAAATGTTGTGGCAGGGCACCTCCATCAGACCGACCACCGCCCGTCATCAATTCTTGTGGATGCGGGCCACGGTCGAGCCCTTTGGCTAAACATATTTGCGAAGCTTAGAAGTCGTAGAAGAATGACCATATGTTTGCTTATTGGAAGAGTTGATGTTCATTGAAAGATGGGCAGAAAGGTCTGTTTCCATCAGGAAGCAGGGGTTTGTGTCTCTAAGAGGCTGTCAGAATGATTGAGAAGTCACAATGCTTTGCCAGGATTTCATCATGATGCATATTGTTTCCATTCTTGTTTCATTTTAACACGCCACGTGGCTCAAATGGTTGGCTTAAAAGGCCCAATTTTGACTCACGGGCCAAGTAATCCCATTTGGGACCTGTGGGTGATGGGCCCTTCATGTCCGCGGTCCAGTGGGCAACTGACCTACAGTAGATGGACAAAATATTCAAACCCTGCAGCACGCACTATGTTGAACCCCCGCACCCCCTAATCTCAATGTTTCAGCGCGCGTGTTTGCAAAAGTGATGTTAGAGGTTTGATTTTTTTCGTCCATTGGGGCTAATGCACTTCAGGCAGGTGGTGGTGTAACCACGTTTAGACATAGTATACCATTTCTTATGTTTATATTACTACGTTATATATCTTAGTTGTAGTACCACGTTATATATGTAAATCTCAACAGCTTTTTGAATATATAGTAATATATTTTATAATAATATAATCCTCAACTGCTGAAGTCATTTATGTAGCCATTTATGTAGCCATTTGGTTCCCTTCGACAGCGGCCCGAAAACACCTGGAGCATCAGGCGTTGAGAAATGTACTTCTACTTCTTGCAATTCAGGAAATCTTGGATTCGAAGGTTTGAATGTTTTGGACAAAGTTTAATAGGTAATCTGGGCAAAAAAAGGTAATCTGGGCAAAATACAATAGAGAATGAGTAGAGGTTTCGGCAAAATACATACAAAAAAAAGCATTCTGGGCAAAATACAATAGAGAATGCGAAGATGTTTCGGCAAAATACATACAAAAAAAAAGCATTCTGGGCAAAATACAATGGAGAATGCGTAGAGGTTTCGGCAAAATACATACAAAAAAACTATTTCTGGGCAAAATACAATGGAGAATGAGTAGAGGTTTCGGCAAAATACATACAAAAAAAAGCATTCTGGGCAAAATACAATGGAGAATGCGTAGAGGTTTCGGCAAAATGCATATAAAACAAAAAGCATTCTGGGCAAAATACAATGGAGAATGCGCAGAGGTTTCGGCAAAATACATACAAAAAAAAAAGCATTCTGGGCAAAATACAATGGAGAATGCGTGGAGGTTTCGGCAAAATACATACAAAAAAAAAAGCATTCTGGGCAAAATACAATATGCGTAGAGGTTTCGGCAAAATACATACAAAAAAAAAATTGGGCAAAATACAATGGAGAATGCATAAAGGTTTCGGCAAAATACATACAAAAAAAAAATGTATTCTGGGCAAAATACAAAGGAGAAAACTTGCAATTGGGGTAAGATACAATGCAGAAAGGCTTAGAAGTTTAGGCAAAATTCACAGGAAAACAATTTATTTTTTTGAAAAAATACAAAGGAAAAAAAGGCATTTGAGGCAACCTGCAATGGAGAAAAGAATAGGGGTTTCGGCAAAATACATTTAAAAAAAAAGCATTCTGGGCAAAATACAATGGAGAATGCGTAGAGGTTTCGGCAAAATACATACAAAAAAAATGCATTCTGGGCAAAATGCAATGGAGAATGCGTAGAGGTTTCGGCAATACATACAAAAAAAAACATTCTGGACAAAATACAATGGAGAATGCATAGAGGTTTCGGCAAAATACATACAAAAAAAGCATTCTGGGCAAAATACAATGGAGAAAAGCGTAAAGGTTTCGGCAAAATACATACAAAAAAAAACCTGTTGGGCAAAAAACAATAGAGAAAGAAGGCAATTTTGGGCAAAATACAATGGAGAAAAGCGTAAAAGTTTCGGCAAAATACATACAACAAAAAACTTGTTGGGCAAAAAACAATAGAAAAAGAAGGCATTTTGGCCAAAATACAATGGAGAAAAGCGTAAAGGTTTCGGCAAAATACATACAAAAAAAACCTGTTGGGCAAAAAACAATAGAGAAAGAAGGCATTTTGGGCAAAATACAATGGAGAAAACATAAAGGTTTTGGCAAAATACATACAGACAAAAAACTGTTGGGCAAAAAACAATAGAGAAAGAAGGCATTTTGGGCAAAATACAATGGAGAAAAGCGTAAAGGTTTCGGCAAAATACATACAAAAAAAAACATGTTGGGCAAAAAACAATAGAGAAAGAAGGCAATTTTGGGCAAAATACAATGGAGAAAAGCGTAAAGGTTTCGGCAAAATACATACAAAAAAAAACCTGTTGGGCAAAAAACAATAGAAAAAGAAGGCATTTTGGCCAAAATAGAATGGAGAAAACCGTAAAGGTTTCGGCAAAAAACATACAAAAAAAACCTGTTGAGCAAAAAACAATAGAAAAAGAATGCATTTTGGCCAGAATACAATGGAGAAAAGCGTAAAGGTTTCGGCAAAATACATACAAAAAAAAACATGTTGGGCAAAAAACAATAGAAAAAGAAGGCATTTTGGGCAAAATACAATGATGAAAACATAAAGGTTTTGGCAAAATACATACAAAAAAAAAACATGTTGGGCAAAAAACAATAGAGAAAGAAGGCATTTTGGACAAAATACAATGGAGAAAACATAAAGGTTTCGGCAAAATACATACAAAAAAAAACTTGTTGGGCAAAAAACAATAGAAAAAGAATGCATTTTGGGCAAAATACAATGGAGAAAAGCGTAAAGGTTTCGGCAAAATACATACAAAAAAAAACCTGTTGGACAAAAAACAATAGAGAAAGAAGGCATTTTGGACAAAATACAATGGAGAAAAGCGTAAAGGTTTCGGCAAAATACATACAAAAACCTGTTGGGCAAAAAACAATAGAGAAAGAAGCCAATTTTGGGCAAAATACAATGGAGAAAAGCGAAAAGGTTTCGGCAAAATACATTTTAAAAAAAACCTGTTGGGCAAAAAACAATAGAGAAAGAAGGCATTTTGGGCAAAATACAATGGAGAAAAGCGTAAAGGTTTCGGCAAAATACATACAAAAACCTGTTGGGCAAAAAACAATAGAGAAAGAAGGCAATTTTGGGCAAAATACAATGGAGAAAAGCGAAAAGGTTTCGGCAAAATACATTTAAAAAAAACCTGTTGGGCAAAAAACAATAGAAAAAGAAGGCATTTTGGCCAAAATAGAATGGAGAAAAGCGTAAAGGTTTCGGCAAAATATATACCAAAAAGAACCTGTTGGGCAAAAAACAATAGAAACAGAAGGCAATTTTGGGCAAAATACAATGGAGAAAAGCGTAAAGGTTTCGGCAAAATACACACAAAAAAAAACTTGTTGGGCAAAAAACAATAGAAAAAGAATGCATTTTGGGCAAAATACAATGGAGAAAAGCGTAAAGGTTTCGGCAAAACACATACAAAAAAAAACCTGTTGGACAAAAAACCATAGAAAAGGAAGGCATTTTGGGCAAAATACAATCGAGAAGAGCGTAAAGGTTTCGGCAAAATACACACAAAAAAAAAACATGTTGGGCAAAAAACAATAGAAAAAGAAGGCATTTTGGGCAAAATACAATGGAGAAAAGCGTAAAGGTTTCGGCAAAATACATACCAAAAAAAAACCTGTTGGACAAAAAACAATAGAGAAAGAAGGCATTTTGGGCAAAATACAATGGAGAAGAGCGTAAAGGTTTCGGCAAAATACATACAAAAACCTGTTGGGCAAAAAACAATAGAAAAAGAAGGCATTTTGGGCAAAATACAATGGAGAAAAGCGTACAGGTTTCGGCAAAATACATACAAAAAAAAACATGTTGGGCAAAAAACAATAGAAAAAGAAGGCATTTTGGCCAGAATACAATGGAGAAAAGCGTAAAGGTTTCGGCAAAATACATACAAAAAAAACCTGTTGGGCAAAAAACAATAGAGAAAGAAAGCATTTTGGGCAAAATACAATGATGAAAACATAAAGGTTTTGGCAAAATACATACAAAAAAAAACATGTTGGGCAAAAAACAATAGAGAAAGAAGGCATTTTGGGCAAAATACAATGGAGAAAACATAAAGGTTTCGGCAAAATACATACAAAAACCTGTTGGGCAAAAAACAAAAGAGAAAGAAGGCATTTTGGGCAAAATACAATGGAGAAAAGCGTAAAGGTTTCGGCAAAATACATACCAAAAAAAACATGTTGGGCAAAAAACAATAGAGAAAGGCATTTTGGGCAAAATACAATGGAGAAAAGCAAAAAGGTTTCGGCAAAATACATACAAAAACCTGTTGGGCAAAAAACAATAGAGAAAGAAGGCAATTTTGGGCAAAATGCAATGGAGAAAAGCGTAAAGGTTTCGGCAAAATACATACAAAAAAAACCTGTTGGGCAAAAAACAATAGAAACAGAAGGCATTTTGGGCAAAATACAATGGAGAAAAGCGTAAAGTTTCGGCAAAATACGCACAAAAAAAACATGTTGGGCAAAAAACAATAGAAAAAGAAGGCATTTTGGGCAAAATACAATGGAGAAAAGCGTAAAGGTTTCGGCAAAACACATACAAAAAAAAAACTGTTGGACAAAAAACAATAGAAAAGGAAGGCATTTTGGGCAAAATACAATGGAGAAGAGCGTAAAGGTTTCGGCAAAATACATACAAAAAAAAACCTGTTGGGCAAAAAACAATAGAAAAAGAATGCATTTTGGGCAAAATACAATGGAGAAAAGCGTAAAGGTTTCGGCAAAATACATACCAAAAAAAACATGTTGGGCAAAAAACAATAGAAAAAGAAGGCATTTTGGGCAAAATACAATGGAGAAAAGCGTAAAGGTTTCGGCAAAATACATACAAAAACCTGTTGGGCAAAAAACAATTGAAAAAGAAGGCATTTTGGGCAAAATACAATGGAGAAAAGCGTGCAGGTTTCGGCAAAATACATACAAAAAAAAACCTGTTGGGCAA